CGTTCCAGAGGCGTGCAGGACGTGGACACCGGGACGCCTGGACACTGCTGGTGCAGAGGAGCTCGCAGGAGGCTGCACTCGGAACCCAGCCTTGCTCCTAGGAAAGGCTATTTTATTTGCTGCTGGGCAAAAAATTGAGTCGTAGGCAGCTCCTCGGCGTGTCCCCGGGTTCCTTTTCCTCTGGGCATGGAATTAGCCTGACATTACTTTTCCTGCCCCCAGGTGGGGCCCTGCGCTTTCCACAGGGGCCCGCGGTGGGTCTGGCTGGAGCGAGGCGATGCATCCCTCGCCATCCTCAGCCACAGAGCCCCAAAAGCACACCCGCCCTGGGACGGAGCTGAGGGACAGACCCTGGTGCAGCAACTTCAAACCCCTAAGCACCAGAATCTCGGTTTTAACATGTGACTACTTTTGGAGTCAGTGGAACAAATAATATTATCAGAATGCAATTCATCTGTAAGGTATGGTTAACCTCTGAGCACGTAAGTGGAAGCATGTCTGCAAGCCACCTTGGAGCGTAGGGCAGAGAAAAGGATATATACAGACATTTCCAGCAGCTCCTTCCAGGCTTTGTTTCAGTGCAGATACCTGTTGGAATTTCTCGTGCTGCAGCCTGTGCCTGTTGTCTGTTCTACTTTCACTATGGTTCTCTGAGGAGAACCTGGTCCTTGCCCCTCTGCAACTACATATTAGGTAGGTGAAGAGAGAAACCAGATCCTTGGCCCTTCACTATTTCACATTTTTATCAAAGGGCTAAAAGAAAAATTAGCACATTTCATAGCAGATAAAGTGATAATAGGGAGGAAAGTTGAAACTCAGTGATCTGAATCAGTATTCCATACATAGGAATTAATAAACTAGAGGCACTTAGTCTAGTTGAATGCACTTTGCCTAAATTCCCACTGATGTGAGAAGCAGGAACTAGGAGGAGGTGGAGCTAAAGAACACGATAGATAATCAGCCATATGCCAGCTCCCAGCGTGCCACTGACATCTGAAAATGCTAATGTGACCTTGGTGTATAGTGGAAATTTTCAAATAGTGTCATTGTATGTCTGACTCTGACACTGACCTAAGAGCTACCTATCTGTAGGCATCACTTAATCCTAGTGCAGACCAGGGGACAATTTTCTAGTTGTGCTGCAGATTTGTGTTACTTATCCTATAAGCACTACTTTTCATTTCAGACCAGTTTAAACACTGCAGCTGTACCATTAAATCTCGCACCTTTAAACATCATCCAAGAGAAGATGGAATGGAATGTTAGCCTTTTTGGCAAGAGAAAGGGAGCTTTACCTCATCATTCAGCCTCAGATGCCAGAGCTTAGTGCATACAACCCCAGGCCTGCCAGCCTACTTGGATAGCCATTAGTTAAAGCAGAGAATATCCTTCCACTCGCTCTTTCAAGGACATAGTTCTTGTTTAGCTTAGATCTTATTTAACTCTTATTTATCTACATTCTTATTTAAGGACGTAGATCTTATTTCATTCTTGCTATTATTCAACAGATATTTTGCTGCAGAATGTTAGTCAAGGGGTGATCTGGGACACAACTCTTCTGGATTCCTTTGAAAACTTGA